AAATGATTCGTTTGACTGTTCCATCAAAAGCAGATCATACAGACATTGGATTAAAAATGACATTGGATGATATGTTCTTACAAACTCGAGATTCATGACAGCCACTGTATTTTCCGGGACTTATTTAACTCTTATTCGAAATGTCCGATGAGCCGAGAACTTGTAAGACCATTTGATTTGTATTACACCTGCACGTGTAGTCTACGAGTTGGTTTAAATAAACAGCATTTTATTCAAAAGAGCTTCTTTGATTTTTTTTTTTTAGAATATGCTACAGCATATTAATACGTCATGCTGAATTTGCGTTTGAATAGGTTATTTCAAACGAATTGTTCAAAAGAACCGATTCGCAAGAGTGACGATGCCAGTATGTGGTTTAAAATATGATAACATCATTATTTTCGATAGGCCTAGGTATACGAATCAACATAGATTCAGAAGCTTCAAGAACCACAAAAGAAAGATAACCCTGAACAAACTGCAACATAAAACGTTCCCAATTCTAAACCGAACGTTTTCTGCTGTTGGACATCGCCGTCTAGAGGAATTATTATCACTTTTTCTGTGAAATATATAAGATCAATATATCACAGGCGTCAGATAATAATTTAACTAAATAATATTACAAGTCTCGTCCCTCTGTGAGGCTTCATGTAAAGAACAAGAAATACACATCCTTCACACATGATTCAGATAATAATTGTTTTTAATCACAATAGTTGTAACTGCGTGACATATGCCTACATTTTTGTAAAACCTGTAAGCCCCTGTATAGTTCTTTAAAGGATCTTTAACTCTCTCTTAGTCTCTTCGTTTAGTTGGGGAAAGGGTTAAAACAACATTAAAATACAGTCTATTTCTTGAAGATATAATTTTTTTTTGCCCCCAAGGCCCCCATAAGGAAATATTCCAGGGCACCCACATGAGACCTTTGACCTCAGAAAAAAAGTGATTCAAAACAGCTTGTGCCATTGTAGTAAATTCATAGCAAACATATGAGAGTGGAGTAACATATCTAAAACATATCTTATTTACAGAGACCCAACAATTCCGACCATGAGCAAGCATTTCGTATTAAAATGTTTTTTGACCCGGAACTATATATATATATATATATATATATAT